TGTGCCACTGCACTCCAGCCTGGGCAACAGAGAGCGGGGGGAAAAAAGAGTTGCCGGACCCTTGCAAAAACTATGAAAGTTCCTTTAGAACAAAATCATGCTCCACTGTGAGCTTTGTACCAGGCAACATACACAGTATTACCTAGTGCCAACAGTTTGATCGTAGAGAGGAAGGTTTTAACAAAACCAAGAAGCACAAGATGAGCCCTTTAAAAAAGGAAAAAACAAAATTATTTTTTGTCCTCTTTCCTCCTCCGCCACCCCGAATGCACCTAACTTTAAGGATAACTCTAAGCCAAAATGTTTCCTAGAGACCCTGTTCTGTCTTCATTTTTTGAGTAATATTTCTAACTCTTGTTTTTTAGGTACAAGGATGGCATAGTGGTTATAATTGACATCAGTAAGAAAGGAGAAGTTATTCATAGGCTTCGAGGCCATGATGATGAAATCCACTCCATAGCCTGGTGTCCCCTGCCTGGTGAAGATTGTTTATCTATAAACCAAGAGGAAACTTCAGGTAGAGATGGCTTAAGTTCAGTACTCTTTCAACCTGAAGAACAGTGGGTAGAATTATATCATTTTATTTTATTTTATTTTTTGACAAGGAGTTTTGCTCTTGTTGCCCAGGCTGGAGTGCAATGGCACGATCTCAGCTTACTGCAACCTCAGCCTCCCGAGTAGCTGGGATTACAGGCATGTGCCATGGTGCCTGGCTAATTTTTAGTAGAGTTGGGGTTTCTCCATCTTGGTCAGGATGGTCTTGAACTCCCGACCTCAAGTGATCCACCCACCTTGGCCTCCCAAAGTGCTGGGATTACAGGTGTGAGCCACTGCACCTGGCCAAATTATATCATTTTAATCATACCTAAAACTTCAAATTTTATAGTTCAGACCTATGAAAGAGATAGCTAAGTTTTGGGAACTCTTGCAAACTAAATTTTTTTATAAGTGCATGTTTAATGCAAATCAAAAACAAAATTGCCATCTTTCTCATAGAAGACCCTGAAATTACCAATGGGAATGCTATAGGACAAGCTCCAGGAACAAATGGCTGCTACTTAGCCACTGGGAGCAAAGATCAAACCATTAGAATCTGGAGCTGTTCCAGAGGCCGAGGTAAGATTGATGTTTCTTTTGTGATGTAACCTATGTTGATCTGGTGGAAATAGAGGTTTTTTTCTTCTGTCCTGTTGTCCTGAGGGCGTGTCCTCTTTCTGAGAGCAGTTCTTTACTTTTTGGTCTAGAATTCTGCTTCCTCATTGGAGCCTGGGCTGGATCTCTATTCTCTCAACATCTGGTGTTAGAGATGAATGTTTCCCATGCATTCCAGGAGAAGACAAGGACCCCCTTGCTTTATAGAAGGATCACTGTTTGGCATGGGGAGCAGGTTCTGTAGTAAGAAGAGGAATATTAGAACATGGTCTGGCCCAGGCCAGGAGAATGGAAAAGATCTCAAGAGTTAAAGCTTTTAATGCACAAATGCAGAATAAATTACATACACCCAGCATAGAATTACGTGTAAAAGCTCTGTTTATCCAAATTATAGAGCCCCTCAGTCATTTAGCTTTCCCAAGCTTCTCTTTGAACAGAACTTTTTAAGTTTAAAAATTGAGAGAAACTCTAGGCAGAGTGAATATTTATAGTATATTATAGAATATAACCTTTATAGTAAAACTCTGGCGTTTCTAGGGGTCTTCTCTTTCTTCATTTTAGTTTTTTCACCAGTTTTTTAAGCTATGGTGGAAAGTATAACATTTGCCATCTTTATCACTTTTAAATGTACATTTAAGTGATATTAAGTACCCTTATAAAGTTGTACAACTGTCACAACCATTCATCTCCAGAATTCTACTCTCATTCTCTCTTCCTCGAGGCCCTGGCAACCATCATTCTGCTTTCTGCTCTATGACTCTATGATTTTGACTATTCTGAGTATTTCCTTTGAGTGAAATTGTCCATATGATGTGTCTTTTTGTAATTGGCTTACTTCACTTAGCATATATCCCCAAAGTTCATTGATTTTGTAGCATATGTCAGCATATCCTTCCTTTCTAAGGCTGAATAATATTCCATTGTATGTATGTCCCACATTTTGCTTATCTACTCATCCACTGATGGACATTTGGGTTGCTTCCATGTTTTACTATTCTAAATAATATACTGTGAACATGGATATGCTTACAACTTTATTTTAAACTGTGATAGTTTTATATTTACCCAAATGTGTTAGTGCATGTAAAGCAAGTAGCACTGTGCTTGGCATGTAGTCCAGGCTTCATCGGTGGTAGGTAACAGTATAATTTTGGAAGACAGAACTTTTTTAAGATTTATAGACTACTTTTGTACATACTGCAGCTAAAACTCCAAGTAGGAACATGAGGCTGAGGATCCCTACAGAAGGGGAACCTCTAGACTTAGAGATGTGTGGTATAATGGCCTTCAATTGTGATTGTGCAGCTGAATCAGCTGGAGAGTTTTTAAAAAAATGTGAGTTCTTATCCCCCACCTCAGATCTACCGAGTCAGAATCTCTAGGAGTTAGGCCCTAACGTATGTATTTTTTAAAGTTCCACCTGTGGTTCTGATGGATAATACAGCTTAAAAAACAGTGATTAGAAGCATGTCAGGTGGAGGTACTCCGCAGCCACAGCATGTTGACTGCCAAATTTTTCTTCTTTGTTGGATTTCTTGCCAACTAGAAACAGTAATCTCAACCTCTATCCTTTTCACTTTGGAGTTATGTCACTGTAATACTTTTGGGTGTACAACTGAGCTGTGTTACTACATGAATTCTCAGTTTTACTTGGGAACTCATTTTCCCAGACAAGAAAAATATGTTGAGGTTGTCAAGATAACCTATGGAAGCTTGTTTGACCTAAATGTAGCTAGACGAGTATTAACCACTATTTATAATGGTTAACATTATAACCATTATAAACAACCATAGGAAAATGAGATCTGAATTCTACGTAACCAAACTAACAAGTTTTTACAGCACAGATTTGAGTATTATGAACTGCTGGTGACTTCATGCATGTAGTTTCACTGTCTTGAGTGCCCATTGGCCTTCTTTTAATCTGCAGGGGTGATGATTTTGAAATTGCCCTTTCTGAAGAGAAGAGGAGGGGGTATAGACCCAACTGTTAAAGAGCGCCTTTGGTTGACACTCCATTGGCCCAGCAATCAGCCGTCACAGCTGGTATCTAGCTGTTTTGGGTAAGTCTTTTTGGGTAAGTGCTTTCTTAGATACATTTTGTTTTTCTATTTAGTCTCAAAGACTCCTAGGTTTCTCTTTGTAGATGGAGAAAGTAGTGGCGAAAGCTTGTATTACAATGGGCCATTTGAAATGGAAAAATTATGAGAGCAATGCCTGTGCTGTCAACTAACAGAGCTGTAAAAAGATCAAATAAGTGTAGCCTGGCAGTTAGGAGTATGGACTCTGAAGTCAGAACTAAATTTCAGAATCACTTTGCCACTTACTGCCTTGTATTCATGAGCAGGACCCTTTATTTTTCTGAGCTTCAGTCTTTTCATCTGTAGAAAGAGGAGTCTTTCCCTGTCAGGATCTTGCTTTGTCACCCAGGCTGTAGTGCAGTTGTGCAAACATAGTTCACTGCAGCCTCCACCTCCTGAGCTCAAGCAATTCTCTCACCTCAGCTTCCCAAGTAACTGGGACCATACATGTGCACCACCATGCCCAGCTAATTTTTTAATTGTTTGTAGGGATAGGGTCTCACTTTGTTGCCCAGGCTGGACTTGAGATCTGGGCTTCAAGCAATCCTCCTGCCTCGGGCTCCCAAAATGCTGGGATCACAGATACGAGCTACCGTACCCAGCCTTCCCAGAGATATTTTGTGTATATTTCAGAATATGCAATTTTTCTCTCCTTAAAAGACAACAAATCATTTTGCAGCTATGAGCCTAGACTCTGTGATTCAGCGGCCACTTGTTTTCAGATTGTTTGTAAAAGAACTAATGCTTATGTTTTTCCTTCATAGAGGTGAGCTGTTGCAATGGGATCTCACTCAGTCTTGGAGACGGAAATACACCCTCTTTAGTGCTTCATCAGAAGGGCAAAATCATTCAAGAATTGTGTTTAATTTATGTCCTTTACAAACAGAGGATGACAAACAGCTACTACTTTCTACATCAATGGATAGAGATGTAAGAACTGCGTATTTTCTCTCAGCATTGTAGAGCAGCAGTTTACAACCTGGGTGGGATTAGAGGGCTTTTTCAAACCACCTGTCAAGCCATAATACCCCACCCCTGACTCCATTTTAGAGTTACTGCTATAGATCAGCATGGAATATATCAATAGTTCAGATGTAGGGAGAATGTAAAGACCCACCAAAATGCTTTTTTGTTAGAGCCGACATAATAAAGAAGGGTAATTTTGCCAACAGAAGGATGTGTTAGGTCAAGCTTGTCCAACCCACAGCGTAGGACGGTTTCAAGCTCATCAGCTATTGTTAGTGTTAGTGTATTTTATGTATGGCCCAAGACAATTCTGCTTTCAGCATGGCCCCAGGAAGCCAAAAGATTGGACACCCTATGTTAAGTCCTCATGCCATAGTTTATATAGTCTGCAGTTTATGTAGCAGAATAGAAATCTTTCCAAGAGAATTGACTTTATTTGAAAGTCTGTTACCTTACTGTTTTGCAATTAAGCTAGGCTTATTTGGTAGACTTTGTTTTCTCCCAAGCCTGTCTCTTTTTTTTTCTGAGACGGAGTTTCATTCTTGTTACCCAGTCTGGAGTGCAATGGCGCGATCTCGGCTCACCGCAACCTACGCCTCCTGGGTTCAGGCAATTCTCCTGCCTCAACCTCCCGAGTAGCTGGAATTACAGGCATGTGCCACCATGCCCAGCTAATGTTTTGTATTTTTAGTAGAGACGGGGTTTTACCATGTTGACCAGGATGGTCTCGATCTCTTGACCTCGTGATCCACCCGCCTCGGCCTCCCAAAGTGCTGGGATTACAGGCTTGAGCCACCGCGCCCGGCAAGCCTGTCTCTTAAACAAGTGATGACTAAAAACTTACCACTCCTCCTTCCCGGGGTATAAGATGTTCTGCCTTTTGAGAGAGCAGTTCTTTGATTTTTCCACTGTGCTGAGGCCATCTTCTTCCTTAGAGTTTGCCAAATGAGGAGGTTACCGGTACTGTAATAGAATGGAAAGGTCACTGAACTTGGTGACAGGAAGTGTGGGTTCTGGTTTATTAATTGTGTAATCCTGAATTCACTTGAAATCTTTGGGAGTAAATATATATTAAGATCCTTTTAAGCAACATAATTTATTACTGATTTTTTTTTCTTAGCAGTGCTTTCTTTAGTTCCTACTGGAAGACATGCAAGATCCTTACCCACTCTTTGAGCCTATCCCATATCTGTTTCTTTTTCCTATTTCTCTGTTCTCTTTTAAGTTTAGGCTCTTACCATTAATCTTTGCAGGTAAAATGTTGGGACATGGCCACCCTGGATTGCTGCTGGACCCTGCCTTCCCTTGGTGGGTTTGCGTACAGCCTGGCTTTCTCTCCTGTGGACATAGGCTCTTTGGCCATAGGTGTTGGGGATGGCATGATCCGTGTATGGAATACACTCTCCATAAAGAACAACTATGATGTGAAAAACTTTTGGCAAGGTGTCAAGTCCAAGGTTACAGCGGTAAGGATTTCTTTTTTGAGCTTGTTTTGAATTTTTTTTTCAAATAGTTCTCTTTTATGCCTGTTCATTTAAATGAGCTCTGTTGAGAATAAAACATTTTAAAGTATTATCAATGAAGTTTGAAACTAGGAAAGCAGAAGGACCCTGTAAGCAAACCCATAGAGAATATATTAAGTTATGATATAACCACATGTTGAAATGGCATCAAATTATTGAAAATGATAATGTAGATTCTTCCTTGATGTGGAAAAGTATTATAAATGATTTATGAGACATGTCAGTTATAAAACATGGAATGCAGGTTGCAAAACAGTATGTGTAATTTTTTTGGTTTTCTCTAAAATGATACTTTTGGCTATTGAATCTAAAAGTAGTAAATTTTTGTGATTTAAAAAGAAAACCAAACAACACAAACAAGGAGAAAGCAAACATTTTTTTCCTACCCTCCACTCCAGTCCCCTACTTACACAACCCAGAGAACCACTGTGGACAGTTTATGATATATCTTTTCAAATATTGTAAACTATTTAATATTAATAGAACTGTATTTCCAAATTCTTCCGGAATCTTTCATTCCCACTCGACAGTGTATAATGCACATCATTTACATATTTGAAAATATGTAAATATTTTTTATTTTCAAATATGTAAATTGGTTTTTTCAATTTGTATATATTTTTCATTTGGTTTTCATTTGGTTTTTTCAATTGTGTATATCTAAGTTCATTCACAAAAATGTCTAGAAACAGAGATACAAAATCTGCAGTTGGTTTTTGGATGAAAGATTACAGATGACATTAACTTTAATATTCCTTTTTCTCCTTTAAATATTGAAGAAATTAGAGCAAGAAAGTTTTCCCTTTGGATGCTTAAAGGATAATGTAAGGATTCCCTTAACTATACACCCCATTTCTTATATTCTCACATGGAAACTCTTTTTTTTTGTAGCTCTGCTGGCACCCAACCAAGGAAGGTTGCTTAGCTTTTGGAACTGATGATGGAAAAGTAGGATTGTATGACACCTACTCCAACAAGTAAGGAATGGGTGATTCTGCTTCCATTGTGGCTCAGGGGAAGCCAAAAGATTGGACACTCCTGCTCTAGAATAATGCCTCACTTTATCCTTTTCATAACATTGTGTTTTCAATTTGAAGACTACAAATCAGTTGCTTGGTAGACTGTTCCACATTTTGGACTTGTCAGTTATCTCCTTGTGGTAGCTTCTAACATATTTCCGTGTTGCCTGCATTTCATTCGAATTGGAAGTTATGTCTAGAGCTACACTGTCTGTTATAGTAGTCATTAACCACAGGTGATTACTGAGCACTTGAAAGGGGCCAAGTCTAAACTGAGATGTGCTGTAAGTGTAAAATACACACCAGAGTTCTGAGTCTTAATATTTTTAAAAAAAGAATTTTTTTTTTTTTTTTTTTTTTTTTTTTTTTTTTTTTTTTTTGAGACGGAGTTTCGCTCTTGTTACCCAGGCTGGAGTGCGATGGCGCGATCTCGGCTCACCGCAACCTCCGCCTCCTGGGTTCAGGCAATTCTCCTGACTCAGCCTCCTGAGTAGCTGGGATTAC